GACAATTTTCAATATTTAAAATGAAATAAGAATATCAACTACTGCCGATGTTTTTCCACGTTCGATTTCAAGAATGGCCTGGCTTCACTCCATTCTCTTTGTTTCGATGAATACATGGCCAGTCTGTTTCCATCTTAGATTATATCGAGGCTGCTATGATAATTCAAGAAAATTATTCACGGCCTGATCTGTTCAGCCATGACGATATTTTCCATCCAGAAGTTTGCAAGACTTTGTTCAGTCGAATGATAGTGCGGAAAACTGGCTGTTACGTATATGATAGCTAGTCACGTCTACGAGCGAAGAATTGTGGGAACATATAATAATTAAAAGTAATCATAGTGTTTTATATGTAAAACAAGTGCGGCCATCTGTGAATCAAGGTCTATCTTCGTAGTTTTCTATACATGATAGACGAGTCGAAATTTTAAGTTTCGCTTTAATCGATCTCGCTTCGAGAATTTCGATCCCGTGTCTGACTGTGATACGATACGTCTCTTTTTTTTTTAATTCTGTCCCTTTCGTTTTTCAACTTTTTTTTTGTGCCGTCGTCACGTTTAACATTGCCTGACTTCAGTATTTAATTTAAACTAGTTAGTTACATATCTATCCATCTAGCCTGATGTTGACGATTAAAGCGAAACATTTGTCACAAATTTATATATAAAATTTCGAATTTGTCGTTCTGACCACCCTGATGAATTTTAGTGTTGAAACTTTTAACGAAAGTTATATTTCGTTCCTCGATATTTGTTAATCTTTTTTCCATTCAATTTCAACTCCTTCAAGTTTCGTTCTAATTCTTCGTCGAATTTTGCAACAGCATTTCTATCGACAGTAAAAAGGGATGCATGGACTTAAGTACCCTTGTACCCCAGATGCGAATCACGTCTCTCTTGCAAAGATGCTTCGTAAACAGACTCAATTATCGTTTTCATCATCGGAAAGCCTCCAAATCGTTGCCTTTCAAAACGTTACGATCCACGTCTATTATCAGCGCCAATTACGAATTGGCCCTATTTAACCTTCCCATTGTTGATTCGGATGGAAAAAAAGCAGAAAATTCTTTCAGTGCTTCTCTGTTCTTAATTCATTGGAAATTATTGTCAAGCACACATAGCTTTCTGATTAAGTTGAGAAAAAAATTACACGACACATACGATTGAAAATGACATGTTTAAGTAATAAATTTCTAGCGTGAAAATTTCTTTAACAGCTGTTATCAACACTCTATATCTTGATAGAATGATCAACTATTGTCTGCAATTTTCCCCCAATTTTAATTAATTACTCCCATCTCTGACGTACTCTAGAGAAACTGGTTTCATTACAATAAAATATTCATCAGCGTTTACGAGAAATTTGAAATTGCACACGATATAATATAATATTCAACAGTTGAAATAATTGTAACATTTAATTCTCGTGATCTCTTTGATTCAGTTTCAATCTCTCCGTGAAGATATAAGAATTGCCACAAACATTTTAAACTGATAATATTCTGTCTGGCTTTCTCATTCGCGAAACCGCGAATTTGCATAAATATCCGCAGTCTCTGCATAGCACGTATAACAAGGAGAAGTATTCCTTTCGACAGAGCAAGGCTTTTTCCCTTCGTTTACTTTCACTAACCTTCGAGCATTATTGTTTCGAGCGCTTTTTTTTTTTTCTTTTAGCGAGGTGCACACCCTTTTTTTCATCCTCTTTATGTAACTCTGATGTCTGTTCACGCGCGTGTTTTTTTTCTACGTCGCATTTCAGCTCGCAAGTGAGCGCAGAACCTAGCCCCGCCGACGAGCAGCAGCAGATCAGCGCAGATTCAGCAGGAGGACTTCGCCGAGATCCAGCGATCCACAAGATCAATCTGATATCGATCGAGCCGCATCGTCGAGCACGAAGATTTCTCATCTAACTCGATTAAAAAAACAGCCAGACTTCACCCAACTGCGCCGACATCGTAGAATGGTAGAGAGTGAACTTAACTCAAAGCACAACCATAGTACGTAAATTTAACTCTTTCAACGATGACCCTCGATCCCGCGAGGAATCGCTAGTTTCGTACGTAGGCCGCGGGTTTCTCGTGAACTTCGAAACGTTGTAGTGCAGCTCAGGTGATATTATCGTCTGTTCGTGAATTTTCGTCCAGTGGCCTTGCAACGAGATTAGATAAGCTTTACGTTATACGATATTGAAAAAAAGAGAAAAAGAAAAAAGAAAAATAGAAATACTGTAAATGATTAGTAAAAGAAGGGAATGGTAGTTTATTTTAAATGAAATGCCGCTGAAAAATGTAGATTGTTAAATTGGATTCAAAGGGGACACGCCCTGTAAATATTGAAAATGATTGTTTCATCATCTTCTGCATTGATTTAAATAATGTTTATTTCATTTAAGTGGCGCAATTACGTGGCAATAAATTACACACGAACCTGTTTTCTCGGTTTTTTTCTTTTCCAGAGTGTGATGTAAAAGACGAGCGGCTAAACGGCTGTGGCTCTAAGGATCTCGAACTTGCCCGTAAGTATAATAGACATTCTAAAGCTATCGATACTTTAAGGAAAATTCAACAAATTTACAACGCGAAATAGTTTCACGAAAATTGATTTAAAAAGCTATTATATATGGATTTGTCAGATCATTTCTCAATCGATTTTTAATTGATGATTTTTTCCTTTTTTTTAATTTTCTGCAACAGGTATTGGAACAGCGGGCAAGACCCTAGATCCAGAGAAAGGATCCATCGTTAAAGCAGACTTCGAGAAGGCTATTGAACTTGCCGGTAATTTCAAGCTTTTCCTCCTTGATCA